GAGGGGAGGGGGAAAACCACACCTAAAAAAATCTTCCATTTTTTCCCAAGGTACTCTACAAGTCGTTGTTTATCTGAGCAAGCCACAAATGTAAGACTCTGCACGCCAATTACAGCCCAGTTACTGGGAATCCAGGTTCGCTATGAATCAGCGTTAGCATGAGGCTTGTCCAAACACAGCTTTCTGCTCTGTAACTATGCCTCACGTTGGAAGTTCCCCACCTCAGTCCAAAGTCCTCCTTTCCTTACTCCTGTCTACAGTCTGGTTTGAAATTTTTACACCACTCCAGGCAATCCTGTCCCTGCCCTTTGCTTACCTGGTGGTTGGCAGCTCTGGAGAGCAGACAACACAAGTCCTTGTTCAGGCCAAGATAAGGGCTGTGCTAGTCACAACTGTGTTTAAATTCACTGCTGGCTTTACTAGTGACAGAACTAGGGACTGCAGAGCCTCAAAATAATGTCAGAAGAAATCTAAAGTTGCTAAAAGTAGAGAGAGATCCACTAAACAGAGCTCCTTCTTGCAGAATAGCTGGCTGTTACATTTAAGCGCCTACTTTTTAGTATCAACTCTGGGCTGATCGTTATCGGACACTGGAAAACTCAGTTAAAGAACACAGGTACTTCAGAAGACCTGCACATCACCCTTTATTTTCTTTTTAAAATAAGGTTTTACACTTTATAAAGAAAATTACCTCATTGGGGAGGTATATGAAAAGGCCTCTGTTTTTAACCAGATGCTACAGGCAGCCATGAATAATTTCTTTACAAAGTAACTGAAACCATACCCGTTTTTTTACAACTGGCATCTCATCAACCCATAATCCTCACAGATTAACACTGAAGTTCAGTTTCCACCTAACTACTCCTTTGGATTTCTTTGTACATCACAAATGACTACCTAAACCCTGCTGGGTTTGTGCAGGATGGCTAGAGCTTCACAAAATGTACAAGGCAAATACTACCAAACTTCAAAATGTTGTAAAATAACTTCAGGACTGGTTAGTAAGAACTGTTATCGATCTATGAAAATGCACACCTCCATGCTCCCTATTCAGACTAGGGCACAGGGCATTTAAGTGCAAATTTTCTTTCCCTCCTCTGCCATTCCCCCCTCCCCCCTGCAAACTGCCTCAGTGCCGCCCCTTTCCTGTTCCCATGAAACGATGCCAGAACAGGTGAACCGCAAAATGGTAGGCTTCGATTAACTGTTGTTTTTTCTAAATTAAACTCACCAGACATGGCAAAGTTAAAAGAAAAAATTGTAACAATAATTAAAAGAATGTTTTCAAGAATTACATTAGTTCCTTCTTCCTGTGCACATTATAACCATAATTAGCCACATTGGTAAAATATACAAAGTGTAGCAAATTGTACCATCCGACAAGTTGGTCTGGAATTTCTTCTGCACAAAACATTATCCCCTGTATTTGTCACATAAAAAAAATTTCAATATTCCACCTAGAGATAAAACTAAATTCAAAGCCAAATGCTCCAATTAATTTTGTAAATCAATCTTTACTACATGATGGTTAATCATTTAAAATTCCATAATACTGGCAACAAACTGACCATAAAATTACCATCACAGTTTCTTCCAGGGAAAACTGCTTTTAAAGAAGAGGGTGATAAGGCAGGTCTGCCTATTAATTGTAAAAACATTACAAGGTGAATGTTAATGTAACTAAAAACCTGGTTGCCGGCCATCTCTCAGTAGGGCTTCATGTGAAACAGATGCTGTTCTTATAGTTTTTTGCAGGTTATAATTTATACTATAGGCAATTCATCACTGATGTGTGACAGCTATGCTTTTGAAGAGCTGAAGCTACATCTTATAAATGAAAAAAGCTACCAGCATCCATTATTCTGCAGATGGATCCCTAAAAACTAAATGCTTCAGTATCATGAGGTCTACTGCTAATTTCCATTAGTCCAGGAGAAAAGAGCTTATTGTATGACAGTCATGAAACATACTGAAAAACAGTAACTTAAAAAAACCTAAATCCTTCATATTAAGCAATCATCGCTTAGTAAAGTTTAGTCATTAATGATGGTGGTTTAAGTTTTGTTTTGCTGTGATCTTCAGGCTTATAAATATTTTAATGTGGAATTAGTACAGCCTTTATAATGTCTGATCCTCTCTCAAAGACATAACTAACGTAGAAGTGACTGAAAAGACTGGTAGACACTTCAAAGAGTAAAACAGTGCATTTCACTACTGAGACCAAACATGCCCATGAATAAAATCAAGAAGGAAACTTTAAAGAAGGGAAGGAAAAAAGAAAAAAGGTAGCTGAAAAAAGAGTAGGTGGGAAATTTCAGTTTCAATCAGCCCCATTTCAGAGGCAGCCTACAGAAAGGCGTGCTTGAACTGGGTCTCTTCCACACAGCAGTCCTGCAGTTCAAGCCGGCAGCTGTGGCCACAGCCAATGCTTGCCTGCAGTGGGCAGAGAATGTGACAGGGGCCTCCTTCCCCCTTGCCCTCACCTCCTGTGGGATGCCTTCACACCCCAGGGCCCCAAACTCTACCCCACTAGAGTCAGGCAGGGTAGCTCCCAGCCAGAAACCACGGGCTGAGCTACTACCACTGCTGCCTGTCTGGCATCCTGAGCAAGAGCTTTCCAGCAGTAATGCTGGTCCCTGCCTGGCCTGCATTCATCTACTTTCCAAGGAAACCACAGCATGCACCGTAGCTAGCAGGATGGAGAGTGTGAAACAGATAATTAGTTAACATCTCCTTCACAACAATAATCTCTGCAAAGTGGCAGCTCTCAATTTCTCAGGACTTTGCCTTTAAAGAAAACCAGACTGCTTGAACTACAACGGATGGTAGGAACAATACTGTACTTGTCTGCCCCCAGAGTATCCCAGAAACCCTTGGACACCAATGGTTAAAAGGATTACATACTTTCAGTTTCTGGCAGCAATTTGCAACCCCTTCTCATGTGACCAGCAACAACAAAAAAAAACACGTTAAGAAGGGCATTCACAAAAGTGGAGTTTCACAATTACTCATGCAAGTAAAAATTCACACACAAGAAATTACAGTGAATATGGATTCACAAAAATGATCCACTATGAAAATTCACACGGACACATTAAGTGGTGCTTAAGTAACACACTGAGGAAATGCCAGTTGCAGTGTGAATAATTAATATGAACAGCAAGTGAATAGTTGGCAAGAGGTCTCAACTCAAATATATTTGAGTACGTAAAACCTTCTTGAATAATAGCCTAACTTATTTGTGCGGTCAAAGTCTGTTCTCAGATAATTCACTATTAAGGAAAAAAAAGGAGCAATTTTCATCAGATAAAACCATTTACTGAGAACAACTCATGTCAATTTACTCTCTGAACTGTTCTTCATGATAAGTTTTATTGAGTTCTTGTTTTGCTTTTGATAGTAAAAGGTTAAATGAGAATACCCCTTTGGGAATAATGTCAAAAGCATGAGTGAAACCAAGAAGCTGTCTGCATCCCTGGAGATGGTCCAGGTGTGGAGCGTAGTGGATGAAAGAAGAATGTGAAGTATCTACCCCACCTCTGGGATTTTTTTCTCCAAAAGTGCTTCAAATACATGCATTAAGTGAAGGGCTGTTCTTTAAAAACCATGACAACTTTGAGCTTTCCTCTTGAGAATTATTTTCTCTTTGGGGATGCCTTTTCTAACAGAACTTAGAAAAATGCGTATTGTAAGCATTACTTGTTATTAGAGGTCCAAAATTAATACTATGCTGAGCATACTTACACCAGTAAGTCCCGCTAATGAACACATTTTATAGCTAACTGTAACCCTCAGAAAGTTAAAAGTAGTACATCTACTCAAGTTGCATATTCCAGCTTTTTGGTATATATGTTTACTTAGGAATGTACTGCCTATTACATAAGAGCAAACTAATTCTATGAAGAGCAAAGAAAAATCTTGTTGGTACTCTGAGTAGGACCCTGCTTTAATCTCTGGATGAAGTTGATGAATGAAACTCTTCACCATTATCAGCTGTGCAACTGGGATTGCAAGCCACCTGCTAACAGTATTAATGCCATTTTCTCTGTCTCTTACAGAATTAACAGCATTCAATACAACTATTCATTTTGTTCCCTGCTGGTTTTTGTCATTAAGCTTTTTTCCACCATTAGTCACAGCCATCTTGGTGCAAAAACACGGCACAGAAAATGTTTTTATTGCCAACCTGTGAGGGTGATATCATCATCTTCTATGATTTGCTCTTCTGCAACGTCCAGAGAGTTTTCAGTGATCATGTCACTAGGTTCATCCACACAGGTTAAGCCAGAGTAGTTATGTAGCAGTTCTGCACTAGGAACATGCTCCACGATGACAGCAGGGAAAATGGATGGATCACCAAGCTGGAGGACAGGGGGGAAAAAACAACAACAAAACAGTAGTTAGACCACATCCAATCTAAACACTTATTGATTAATACTTCAACAGACCTATACTACATCACTTGAATGTTAGACTGTCAGGAGGGGGTACCAAAGAACAAGATGATTTTTAGAACATGCAACCAAATAGCAGCAGTGTCCCACTATGAGACAGGGGATGAATATCACTGAAGTATCTGACGTATTGACTTCACTCCAGTACGTAATACCAGACTTCTGTGACGTGATTTTACAGCATTAAAGTTGACAATACAGAGCAGTGGCACAGCGCAGTAAGTGACAAACGTTGCTGGCAATAATACAGCATGAACGACTTGTCGCAAGCACCTTCATCTTCTGCTCTTCCCATCAAGCTGGGGGTGGAGGAGTCCTGTGGCTGTCAGGACTGCATGAAGCTCTCACAGGCACCAAGTTTCCCATGAGACATTATGTGAACTTCACTATTTTAGGACACACTTGCTAAAAGATGAAGGCGTGTAATGGGTTGATATAAGTGCTCTAGTAAATTCCCTAATTCTTATGGCTTTAGTCACTTGATATTCCTCACACCACACCCACCCCACCACTTTCCTTCCTAAGTCTGCTTTCAGACATCATCCTATTGCCTTGATAGTTATTTTGCATCAGAGATACAGAAGAGAAGTCGTCCCTGGAAAACAGAAATCAAGCTGACCAGCCATAATAATGAAATGCACACTCTCTGAAAAGGAAATCGTTCAACAGGAAGAGGTTTTCAGAAAATAGCATCTGCTACAGACACTGTATTTTCTAAACTGAGTCTTTTAAAATGTCATTTGCAGGAAGAAAGTCATAGCTGGTGATAGCAGAGTAGGTTCAAAGAAAGTCTACTGTAACTCTAAGATTCTCTCATCACAAAAATAAAACATGCTACAAATGCGGTAAGCTTAAAACCAAGAAAACAAACCAAAAAGTTGCTAAAATATGTTTCTGAGAGAACCAGTATATGTACGAGGGAGCCCCTGGTGGTCTAGGGGAAAGGCACTGCACTGTCACTGCAGAGACCCGGGTTCGATTCCCGGTCAGGGCCCCTCCCTGGGCAGATGGAGCTCGTTAGCCCTGTAGGGCAATCCATCTATGTCCTGAGGACCTCACTGCCACCATCCAAGCGTGCTTGGCCCCGGCAGATGAACCTCAGGATTAAAGGGTGGGCTCAGTTCCGCACACACTGTGTCTGACCTAAAAAATCCAATGCGCAGGCTGGAAGGTGTAAAGACCTTCCCCGGTTCTTCGTTCGTGAAGACTGGCCATTACTTACTTACTTAGTATATGTACATTTGGACTTGCTCTCCACAGAAGAGCATAGACATGTACAGATCACAGAACCATAAAACGGCCTGGGTTGCAAAGGTTCATCTAGTTCCAACCCTCCTGCCTGACACCTTTAACTAGACCATGTGGCTCAGAGCTCCATCCAGCCTGGCCTTAAACACTTCCAGGGATGGGGCATCGCAACTTCTCTGGGCAACCTGTTCCAGTACCCTTCCACCTTCACAGTAAAGAACTTTTTCCTAATATCTAATCTAAACCTGCCCTCT